CTTTGACTTGCAGACGCTGGAAACAGAAAATAAAAGTTTTATCCTTGAAAACTTAAAGAAAGGGGCGGAGTACTGCATAGAGGTGAAGCTCAACACCAGAAAACTAAACAACCATGAGCCGTCTGCCTGGAAGTGCACCTTCACCACGGCGGTGGACCAGCAGAGAGGTGAGCTGATGTGCAGCCGGTAAGGCGGGCGTTGTTGCTGAATCAGAGCATAATGAGCTGCCACAATTCATCTGCCTCCTTATCTGTGTAAATATGCAGAGGGAGTAATTACTAACACATGCCAGGCTGCCCCTCTCGCCAGTGGGACTCCTCCCCCAGCCACCTGCTCCACCCATCCCTCCCACAGCACAGCCACAAACCACACCCCTCCGCTGTACTCCGGCTGGTTCAGACAGTCGTCTGCATGGAATAATGTGTGTCTGTGTGTCTGCAGGCCTCACTTTAGGTTTGGTCATCGGCGTCCCGATGGTTGCCATCTTCATCGTCACGAGCTGCCTGCTCCTCCTCTTCTACACGGGAGTCATTTGTAAACTGAAGGAAACTGTGCCCAGAGCTCTAATTGTAAGAAATCCAGTTTCATGTGCACTCTAACACCTGTGGTTTGAGAGATTTTATAATGATGTGTTTATTTCTGCTGTGAAGTTGAACATCGCCTTCATTTCATCCATGAGCGTCTCTCAGAGGACAAAGTTCAAACACTTTGAAGCTCCACAGTCGTAAAGCTCCTCCAGCATATTGTGATTTGCATTTCCACAGAAGGACCAAAGTCCTTCAAAGGTTAAGCAAATGAGTCAGCTGAGCTGAAAACGACTTCTGTTTTGCCCTGCTGCTCTGTGTATATCTTGCTTCAGTCTTAAATATGATCAACCTATCTCTAATAATCAGCTGTGTACCACAGGCCTTCAAGCTGGCTGTAGTTAAACCTTTACTCAAAAAGCATCTCTAGACCATCTCTAGATCCTTGAAAGAGTAGTTGTCAAACAGATCACAGTGACTGTCCCCAGAAAACAGCTTTGGCTGATGTGTTTGTCCTGCATACTTAGACACAGCTGTGACTCGATGATACTCAGACATCTTCAGCAGAGTTTGCCTCTGTTCCTCCTTCTCAGAGCTTCTTTCTCTTCTCTTTGTAGACGGCTCTAACCAAAGGCTACGTCCTGACCCCGCAGCCCACCGTCCCAGATCCCATCTCAGTTAACTCGGAGACCGGGGAGCATAACAATCACACAACATCACCTTCTGCCAACATTGACGATGTCTCAGAGGACGACGACGATGGCAACTATGTGAACAGAGCAGTGGATCTCTCCTCGGGGGAGAGCTGCTGCTGTGAGGAGCTGTCTGGCAACATGTCAACGAACAGCGAGCCAACGGCAGCACTGGACGCTGGAAGCTCAAGGTTATTTGCTAAGGTGAAAGTAACGGCGCTGCCTGCAGAGTCTGACGAAGGCCAGGTGGAGACGGAGGTGGAGGGAGCGCAGCTCTGTTTGGTGAAAGAGAGGAGTCGAAGTGGAGTCTGGGGACAAAGTCAGGACGAGGAGGTGACGAAGTCCAAAGAGGACAAGGAGGTGCGGGACATCTCCGGCAATGTCAACCTGTTCTCAGTCACCCTCGCCTCAATGGCTGCACGCGATGAAGATGAGGAGGACGTCACAGGCTTTTTGAAAGAGTCCAGCCTGGAGGGTTTACCTGCCACAGACTCACAAACTGAATCAGATCACCTGACACCTCAAGTATTCCCGACACACACAGACCGCACTGCGAGCAGATGTGAAGGCAACAGCACGGACACGCTAACTGAAGAGGAAGAGGAGGAGTTCTCGCCCTATTTGAGAAACAGATGATACTGATGTGTGCTGCTCTGAGCGTCGATGACTCGCAGGTTCTCCTCGTGTTTGTAGACCAGCTTATTATTTGGTGCTGCAGGTCAGAAGATCTGCAAATGAACCAGCCGGATTTTCTGTGTCCGACGTTTTGACTTGTTTGACTGTGAACGTAAAACTGATGCTGCCAAATGGGGTCCAGACACTTTTTAATGTTGTTTGAAAATTAACATAAGCATTTTAAGAAAATCAAAGGAAACTGTGACATTTCTCTTTCTAATGTTCTTCATTAAATATAGATTTTAATGTTTATACATTCTTGTATTTTGCTTGTTTACATTATTGTATTTTGCACAACTCTGTTGCTTGTGAAGCTCGCACACAAGAATTTCACTCACATGTGCTGTACCAATGTACCTGCACATGTGATGTGACAATAAAAGTGATTTGATTTGATTTGATTTGTTTGCTTTTCTCCTGGTTTCCATTCTCCGTACTTCATAATTAAGTTTGGGTCATCTCACGCTGGGTCTCCTCTGTCTCAGACAAACTGTTTTTGCTGCAGTGACTTTAAAACTGCTGCTTTCTGATTGGCTGCCCCTTGTAAACAGAAGCTGGCTGGAGCTTCTGAGATGACCATATAAGGGTATACCCTCCCTCTGATATAATACAGTCTCAGGTGTAGAAAAAACTGTCTGCAGAAGAGCCTTTGACTCACTTGTTCATACATTGACCAGTGTTTCATATAAACATCCATGGCTGGAACAGAAGATACGTGAACAGAAATTGGCAGAAAAAGAATAATGTGATAATTATTACATTTTATTTTTTAATATTTAAAAAAATGAGTCCTTAATGATTTTTCCATGCTACCTTACATTGGTGTCGTGGGTTTAAAAATTTGACTTAACTCAAAATTTTGATTTAGTAAATTGAAATTTTGACTTGCGTACCTCACAATTTTGGGATCAAACTACCAACCTTCCAATTAGCAGATGAACTGCTCTAACACCTGAGCTACAGCCACTCTGTACTCCATGCTAATATTGTTGCTAGCCAAATCATAATGCTAGTGGATTTCCAGATTACTTCAGCAGTATGACTGTTGACATTTAATAATGTAATCGGATTAAGCAAAGGTCTGCAGTGGTTTGTTGCAGCAGAGTTGTAACATGAAGGCAGTTTATTCCTACATTAGAATGTAAATGGGAACTTTGTAAGGGCAAAGATGGAGGGTAGCACAACTTCCAGAGGGTACAAAATCAGTTTAAAGGCTTATTTTGAGACAAACCTCCAAACCTTTCAATCACATTTGACTGCTGATGTTATTTGTGTGGTTTTTATGTCTTGGTGACCTCTGGAGTTACGGTTCATTTAGAGAAAAGTCACAGGTATATATCAGCCTTTTGTTTTTTAGTGAAGCAAGAACAAGGATTGATGTACACAACATGGCTACAAGATATGCACTTTCAATCAAATAAATAAAATGAGAACTTACTAAACTTCTTTGTGTTAAAAGGTTTCACTGCAGTTTTGGTTTTCATAATCTTAAGGGTTTGAAAATAAGAAATCGTTATTTTATTCCACCGTGGTTTGTTGCTGTGGTTATAAGATGACCTGCTCGTGAAGCGCGTGCACGGATATTTAAAACTAAATGTAAACCTCAAATCTAAGGAAAATAACCACCAACTATATCACATGACTTCTCAAAGCTACTGGGAGCCTGTCAGGTAAGCGTCCGTGCTTCAACAACATCACGTGATTTCCTATCACCGACTTCCCGCGGTGCTGCATTCATGACCGCCGGTCTAATGAGATCTCGTGAAGAGACGGCGTTATAAACCGCAAAGAAAAAAAATATCTATAGATATATATTTGCTACACCCGATTTCAGGGACGATGTCCCGTTAAATCAACTGTGACGGTATATTTTATGGCGTCTGTCCGGTTGTGTTTAATGCTATGTGTCAAACGAAGTTTACACTTTATGATTTGTCAGACTGGTCAACAACAAACTCAAACCGACCGAGTGGGAAATGTTTCTAAGTGTTGTTGCTGTGTCATTGTTGGGTGTGATGTCGCTGTGATCAAAGCAACGACACAGGAGCAGGAGAGAGTTCGCGATTACCGGAGGTCCGTGAAGGCAGCGGGGCGGCAGCAGCGTGTTTCGGTCCTGTGACAGCGCTAACGGAAGCATATCGGGACGCTCACCGGGACAGGTAACACGCTCGGACTCATTGATCGGTTACTACCAGCCTGGAGCTTTGATCTTTTACCAACACAGAGGGTGCTAGCCCGTTAGCCTGTTAGCCCGTTAGCCTGAGATGAGGAGGAATTTCCGGCGAGTGGGCGGTTTGAGAAAAACACGAAAACTTGAACCTGCGGACCAGTGACGCTTCATGGGGGCTTTATCTCTCCGTAACAGGTCAGCAAGTTACACTTATCTCACAGTCTGTACTTACAGGGAAGTCTGAGGCCAAACCAGAGGCTAACAGAACCACGGGGGTGTCAATAAAGATTTATTTCAATGTCAAAACTTTATTAACTGTGTTTAACTGTAAGACACGAGACAGAAAGTAAAAGCGTGGGTCTGTAACTGCACTTTCATCCCTGCTCAGAAAGGGAAACCAGCTGCTGTCTGTCCGTTGAGGTGCTGATGGAAGCTCGGCAGATGTGCTCCAGCTGTCATGACCGCTCTCACCTGGATGCTCTCATGGCTGCCTCTGATCCTGCCAGGTGAGCGCGCACTCAGAACCACGTGATCTTGCCTCTGCGTATTTCTGGACTCTCCGTGTCATAGTTCAGGCCGTTTCCTCTGGAAACCACCTGAGTGTCCCGGCTGTGGTCATCCACTCACCGTCCGCTGCTTCCTGTTCCTTTGTCACTGTAAAGGCGTGTTATTCAGTCAGACCTGAGACCATGAAATCATCAGGAAGGAGTTGGCTGAGCCCAGAGTAGGCTGCTCATGTTGTCACAGACTTGTGTCCAATCAGACTTTTCAGACTAGAGGCTGCAGCCGTCTTTAGGACACTATATTAGCAACAGTTTGCAGCTCTTCTTTCCAGAGGTTTAGGAGTGTTTATGGGAATTTTGGACCATTCGGATGTTGGACGAGAAGCCCCGGCTCACAGTCGCTAACTCATCCCAAAGCTGTTCTGTTGGGCTGAGGTCAGGACTCTGTGCAGGCAGGTTCTTCCACAGCTCATCCGTGTCTTTCTGCACACCGGTGTGCAGCCATGTTGGAACAGCCATCCCCAAACTGTTCCCACAAAGTTGGGACCATGAGATGGTCTGCTGAAGCATGAAGTTCCTTTCCCTGGAACGACTGAGGGTGGGGAGATGTTTGCTGGGTCTTTCTTTCCTCCCACAGTTCCCACACATACAGATCTCAGCTCCTCCCACAGCGTGCACAAAGCTGGAGTTGTGTCAGGCGTAGAAGAGCTGTTGCCTGTTTAATAATTATGTAGAGTGTCCGTGAAGAATAATAATTTTATTGTTTTTCTGCTGACATTTAAGATGTTTCATTTTGTGCTGCGGGTCAGATAACTCATGGTGCTGGTCTCCTGCTGACCTTTGACCTTCCTCTTCCTGTCTGTGTTCCAGCTGTAGGTACCCTCCCAAAGCCCGTCAACATCTCCCTGACATCACTCAACTTCAGTTATATACTGAAATGGGAGGCGGGACCAGGCACACCTCCAGGGGTCTACTATAACGTTGAATACACAACTGAGAGGTGGGTTTACCTTCACACACTGACAGCTGCAGGTGTGCTGATGTCACCTGGTTGGTACCCTGATGATAGTCTGCGTTGTCTTCAGAGGAGTTCTGACATGTTTCTGGCACATATTGGCTCAGGTGATCACGAACACTTCCTCTGAGATCTGATGTTTCTCTCCTCTCTGGTCATGAAAGGAAACATAGCTGGAACCCGGTGGCCGGCTGTGAGCGTGTGCAGAAGCCTCTGTTTTGTGACTTGACGGCGGCGTTCTCCGTCCTAACGGAGAAGTACTTAACAAGGGTTGGAGCTCAGCTGGGAGGCCAGGTCTTTGGAGACCCGAACGAAACTGAGGTCCCATTCAAACCCATCGGTGAGTGTCGAGTCTTCAGCTCCGGAGACGCCACGAGTTTGTTATTTTCAGCCCTCTGAGCCGTGTGTGTGCGTCATGCGTTGTTTGTGATTTCTGCAGAACACCTGAGCCTGCCGCTGCTTAGCGTGGCGCCCAGCGACAGAAGCCTGAGCGTGGATCTTCACCCTCCGCTGGAGCGCCTCAGGCAGAGCTACAACATTCTCCGTTACGAGCTCCGGATCAGCAGCAGCAACCCGGATAAGATGGAGGTACATGAGAGAGGGAGACCAATCAGAACCCCCGGTTTGAGTTTCACCTCCGCAAATAAACGGCAAAGACGGCGAGGGTCAAATGTCACCTCAAGCAAAGTATAAGGAGGGAGGAGCCTGGCCTACAGGCCTGACACGGGACTGCGAGTTACCTTTCAAATCACACAACACTAACTCCACTCTGGACCCGCCCACTTCGTGTCGCTGTGGTTATTTTTCCGCTCACTCTCCGTGTCCGCCGCTTCCATTAATGTTTCCATGGTGATCCAGCTGTGGAATTCTGTCCCACTGTTATTACATGTCTCTGAAATGATGCTCGCCGAGCGTCCTCACCAGCTGCCGATGAGCATAAGAGCGTGCCTCGCACAGTAACCGTGGTGATACCTGAGCGCTGGCTCGAAGCGTTAGAAACAAGTTTACTTCCTGCTTTCATCTGTTAGCTCTGAGTGGATCTTTATGGCAGTGACGTACTCCTGAACCTCTGGGACAGAAAGTGTGGCCCACGGCTTTCAACGGTTTGAAGTCAGCCATGAGTCCTCTCTGATTTATGATAAATGTTTAAATATTTTGCTACATGTAAAAAGTCTGTAGGCTAAGAGCAGGCGTCACGTGAGAGACCTGCTGCTGTGTCAGTCGGAGTCTGTGTGAGCAGGATGCCTCCTGTGCTGATAATCTGTGCCTGTGTGTGCAGTTCATCAAGACTGAGTCTCTGAAGAGCTATAAGTGGGATCGTTTGGAGCCCGGCAGGCGGTACTGTGTCGCCGTGCGATTCTGCGACGAAATCGAGGACATGTACTCCAACTTCAGCCCGCCTGAGTGTGCTACAGTACCAGCCATCTTCTCTGCAGGTACACACACACACACACACACACACACACACACACACACACACACACACAGTGATTTCAGTTACCTCGCTGTCAGGTGGAAGATGGGTGACGCTAAAGGAGCAGCATCATAAACACTGCTGTTAGCCTGCAGTGTCGTTCAGGGCGTGCGTGTTAATAACTTTACATCAGCTCTGTGGAGCTCCACGTTTTTCAAAGCTGTGCCAAGTTTCAGCCCCCTCAGGTTGAACCGTGAGATGCAGCGTTTGTGTGTTTGCTTATTTAGTTTTACTCACTGGAAAAATCAAGTGGACACATGGAGGTGACAATAAAAAGCTTTTAGTCAACATTCATGCTGAGCTTCTGTTGTGACTGGAAATGGAGGGAATTCCCCGTGAAACACACTTCCCACGCTAACCTCAGCGAATCTGACTGATAAGCAAGTCACGGCTGGAAACAGCAGTGCTAGTACTACCTGTAGTAGTACTAGTACATGTAGTACTACCTGTAGTAGTACTAGTACATGTAGTACTACTACAGGTAGTACTACATGTACTAGTACTACTACAGGTAGTACTAGTACATGTAGTACTACTACAGGTAGT